ACACACACACACACACACACACACACACACACACACACACACACACACAGGGTGTCTGATAATTATTCTGATAGAGTTCGTGGACATGCAGAGCGGATTAAACTGAGACAGAAAATCTCCTACCATTTTGCAATTTTCGCAATAATTAAAAAGATAATTAATTGCTAAAAATTGCCGAAAATTGGTCTTCAATAATTTTTTACTCAAATACTATTAACTTTACAGAAAAATTACAAGAGACAAAAATAATTTATTTTCTTTCATAGAATTCTAAGAATTTTTTTAGAATTTTTTCAGAATTTTAAAATACCGTATTTTCTTATGTTGATAAAATAAGAAAATACTGAAAAAATTCATAGAGCTCTATAAGAAGAAAATGAATTTTCTTTTGCAATTTTTCTGTAAAGTTGATAGTAAAAAAATGATTGAAGACCAATTTTCGACAATTTTTAGCAATTAATATCTTGTTAACTATTGCGAAAATTGCGAAATGGTAGAGAACTTTCCATCTCAGTTTAGTCCGCTCTACTTCTCCACGAACTCTGTTAGAACACCCTGTACATATCAGTAATAATTACAAAATAATTAGAAATTTATTAATATATATAATTACAATTACAGGTAATTAAACAGATCGACATTAATTACGAAATTAATAGCAGAGATAATTAAGGGAAAAAAATCCTTATTCCCATAGAAATTATTCGAAGGCTTTCTTAAGAATGTTCGATAAGCTCGTTCAGTCGGCGTCTCTCTTTCTCTGTTAAAGGATCTGGCACGATTAACATCTTCGGCAACATGCCAATGCTGAAGACGCGATCGATTCTCACACCATCGAGAGCAAGAGTTTGGGTCATAGCAAAATACGTGATCTCACGATTCAGTTGCCGAAATGATTGTCGCTTAATCCTTTGCACGCGTTGCCTGCAGACCACATGGCTTAAAAAAATACAATTAATTGTGTAATTAATTATGAACTATATCATAAATATTATAAAATTATACAAGTTTTATAAAAAGCTAGTGACCTTTAAAGTCTCGGTGTGAACTTTTTCAGAACGTCTCATTTAATCCCTACATTACTCGTGCAGTTTTTTTTAACTTGCGTGTTTCTGATACTTTAACATTATATATATCTCTATTTTTATTGTTCTCTTTGATGATTTACAATTAAATAAAGATTGATAATATTCTATATCTTTTGGATAAAAATAAATGCAAAAATTTTTTATTTGTGACAACAATTTATGTTAAATATAATAATATATGTATATAATGTTTAAATAATATTCACACACGTTTAGCAAATTTATAAAATGGAGATGTACTGGACATTCCATGCGAGTAATGAAGAGTTTATAAAATTAATGCTTTATAACAGATACAACAAACTTTGATATATAAAAAAATGATTTTCTTTTATTTATATCTAATTAATTTCTGTTAATTGATCGATTGAGAATTAATTCTTACTAAGGCAAGATTTTCAAGTTTGTATAACTGGGATGAATTGAAACATCACTTCGATATAATTCCGGAAATTGCTTCATATGCTTCGTGCGGTACTTGCGAAACACAGGTTTCTCCTTCGCCGCTTTTGAAGACTTCTTAAGCTCTTGAGGGCCTTCAGAAATTTTCAAGTTCTCATCCTCCAACAAGTTATCTTTTTTATTCATTTTCGAAATTTGACATTAACTTTCTACCACTTTTTAGAACAATTCGAAAAATTCGATCTCAGTTCTATTAGGTGAATAAAAAATATTTTCAAACACTTTTTAAACTGAAAAATTTCTCCAAATTAATTTGATTTGCATTACATTTATTCATCAGTAAACTAGTTTCATTACTAGATTCAAACTAAGTTTCATTGATTTAACAAACGCAATGTTTCGTAATGCCATATTTTTTCTTTGCACTTTCTTCACTCGTAGAAGATTATAAAATAACAATCTTTTTTGAAATCGTAATCGTTTCTCAGCGAAAATAATGATTTTCGAGACCGGAGAATTTAGCAGATTTGACGGACGACGAACTCAACGAACGATTCGAGCAAAATTGACTGATTCGTAACGAAGTGAGTGCCTGTACCTCGTACGGATATCGATTTGGTTTCTAGGTGAATCAATAGATTCGGCTTATTCTTATTCCGAGTCGTCGACGATGCGCTCACAGAGCACTGAACTCTTCAGAACAATAAAAACGAGAGCGACTTGTAAAAAATATCAATCTGATAATAGAAAATAATCCTCCGCCGAATGTCATTATCGATCGCTAAATCATTGAGAATCCATATTTTTATTGGATCAATAATAAAAAATGGACAATAAGAATTCAACTTTTATATCATTAAAAAATATACATATAGATCTAATTCTATAAACTTGGAGGTAAAAATTCTGAAAAAAAAACAAAGTATGAATTTAAACGAATTTAACAATCGAAGATTAATTTGACGAAGCACTATAATTTAAACAAGAAAAATTGATAAACGTGAAATTGTAGTTTCAGATTTCAGAAATAGTTCGATGAAAAACGTATCTCTTATCAGTTAAGATCTTTGCATTCTCAATGGTCTTTTTGGTGAATGCTCTTCGTGTCTTGCGTCAATTTTATCAGGAGGGCTGCATTGTGGTCTCGATCGTCTCGACAGTGCATATGAGGCATGTGCTAATTAAATTCATCCCGTACTTTCCACACAGGCCGCTTGATCGCGTGACGTTATCATCTTTCTCAATCGTAGGTGTTTAACATGTTCGTTCACATTGTTGAAACTTTGCCCTTCCACCTCTGCATTTATTGATTTTTGTGTATACGTATATGACAGCTATAGTTAAATCATATTGATACAGTCCTTGGTATTACCTATTAATTAAATTAATTATATTAATTAAATTTTTAAAATTGAAGGAGTTATAATATTAGAACAAAATCGCAAAAAAATTATTTGCTCTTCATTCAAGACAATTTCTTAATTAGTTTAAAATAAGATATCTTTTATTTAAAGGAACATTTTATTAATAATTAACTTCCTATGATTCCTTAATTAAAAAGTTAAAGACAGTTTTTATTTATTTTATTATTTCTAAATTCTCAAAACGCGCAAGGAGAATAAAATTATCAGTTTATCATTTTATTTGGAGAAAAAAATTGGAAGATTATATTTTAAAAATTGAAAATAAATTATATACATTTAAACTTTATTGACAGTCAAGGCATTAATTATTTTGAGGAAGTCGAGATCTTTTTAAGTTTGCAAATTTAACCTGTCGTTTCTTAGGAACGAATCAATAGGTCGTTCCAACGGAAATCCTCGAGTGCTCAACGGTCATGCTCGGATTTATTGATATTTGCTCCAAAAGCAAAGGGGGAATTCGCCGTCACACCCGCGAGCTCAACAGTCTTCAAGTATATACAGCTGATCGTGAGACGAAGCTGAAACAACCTCGTCATTCTTTCCGGTCTTCTCCCGAAATTCCCGACAGTCATGAGCGAGTGACAGCGAGTGCCGGATCACAAGAATCCTTCGCGAGTGTCACTATCTGCGGCTTCCAAGTTAATCGGAACTACTGTCGGAATAACTGTCGGAATGTCGCCGAGATAGCGAGACAAAGCTTTTCTCTCTGGAGAACCGGACGGTCCATTTAGATACCGCGTCCCCTTCTCTCTCCTTTTCTTGTTCGGCCACGAAAGAGCCTCGAGTTTGTCGATCGAGTTTGAACATCCCAAAAATTCATCCACACTATTCACGACTCCAAATATCAAACTATGTGAAATATCTCTCTGACGAATAAAAATAGATTTTTCGAAGAATTTAATTAAATATTTTAGATTATATATATTTTTTCAAACAAATTTAAATGCACCAAATTCTTTCTGATAATTCAAAAACCGGCTGACTCTAACTTCTAAGTAATTCCACTGTCAAATTTAGAGATTTTTAAATTAGAATCTAAAATTGATATCTTCAAATGTTTAACTGACAAATTTTACATAAAACTTTGATTTTTTGAATGAACATCGGAGATTGTAAATATCTGTGAAAATCTAAAAATCTGCGCAATTCCGTTAAGTTATCAATTATCTGTTTAAGAATTTTGAAGAATTGTGAAATTTCTGTCAAATTTCTCAGTGAAAAAAATGTCGAATGATTTGAATTTTTACATATCCAATAATAAATTATAAAGCTTCATAATCACTGGTCAATGTTGGTGAAAATCGAAATATCGACCCGCAAGAACGACAGATTGAAAGCTCCTGCCATCGTCGGGACGCTCAATAACCACGACAGAGTCTTACAATGGCCAACGAAAGGATATCAGGTCGTTACAGGTTGGGGCAATAAATTCCGATATGTTTAAATTTACGAATCTATAAATATTGCTCGGAACTTTGAATTTACAGTCGCATTGAAAACTGCAAATATTCGAAGATGCAGAGATATAAAAATTCCTCATTTATCGTTTTTTTTAAATTTGTATAAGAAAAACTACTCAACTTTAACCCTCGGGAATAGTCATCCTTTTATACCTCAATTTTTATATTCCAATAAAAAATGTTCCAATAAAAGGAATTTCGTAAAATGAACATTGTTTCCTCTTTTAGTCATATTTATTGAAAATCCGCAATAACAAGACATTATATTAATTAAAATCTTAATTTTTTTAACATTATTATTATAATAAATTACTTAAGGTGTTTATTCCATTTAATATTTGTTTGTTTCTCTTATTTTTTTTCAGAAAATTGTGAATAATATCCATCGTATAATGATATTCATCGTGTAATGATAATATCAATCGTATAATGTTCGTATAATTCAAATGCCAATAAATCAGAAAACAATCAATAATATGCAATGTATTATTAATAATAGTGATTTCAAATGAATAGAATGTAAAATTATCCTAGATATTTATTTATGAAAAAAAAAATCAGATTACTTCCTGAAAAAAATTTTTTACTCATTTTTTATCAAAGCGCGTTTTATTCTTTCCAAGAACATCGTTACCAGTTCCGGGTCATTCCGAAGTAAATCTATGCTCAATGACACTCCAGCTGGGCAAAGACATCAGCAAGACCAGTATGCCGGTTATCTTTAACGAGCCTCTCTCTTTCCTGCAACGCGTCGCAGAATATATGGAGTACGCCGTATTACTTAAGCAGGCATCCCAGCAAGAATCGCCAATCTTAAGGCTTCAGGTGCGCGAAGAATTGCCTTTAAATTTAATCAGGATAATAAATCAATAATCCGTTACTATTAATAAAACGAAATTAATGATTACGCAGTACGTCGCAGCTTTCGCTGTGAGTGCCCTCGCTTCGAACTGGGAGCGCTTTGGAAAACCTTTCAATCCAATTTTAGGCGAGACATATGAGCTGCAACGCGAAGATTTCCGGTAATTAATTATTTATAATTCGTCAATTTAATTTCTAATTAAAATTGATTTGTTTAATATTATTTTACTGCCATCTCTTGGAAGTCATTTCTTCTTCGAATCTTCTTCAGGATAATATGCGAGCAGGTTTCGCATCATCCACCAGTGTCCGCGTTCTATGCTGACAGTGAGGATTTCATCTTTCATGGCAGCATCCATCCCAAATTGAAATTTTGGGGGAAATCACTGGAAGTACACCCGAAAGGAATTGTCACGGTCGAATTACCCAAGTAAGTTCAGTAATAAGTTATTCAAGTTTAATAATAATTACAATAAACTAATTTATGTAGTAATTTGTATTTATTTTATATAATTAATAATTATCTTTCCTCTTTTGTCAAAATGATCTCTGAATTTCAAAGGTGTAAAAAACGTAAATCTCATGGAACGGATTATATTTCTAGATTCTAGATTTATTTCTCTATTTTCATAAATATATTAATTTTTTCGATAGAAAAATGCTGTGTATTATTATTAAAAATTAAAACAATATTAAGAGAACTTTATTGGAATTTATATTTGAATTTTTTTAAAAGATATTCGATGTGTTAATGATTATGTTTGAATAGATGGAAGGAGTCCTACACTTGGCAAAACGTCAATTGCATCCTTCACAATGTCTTGGTAGGCCAGTTATGGATGGAGCAGTCAGGCCCTTTGGAGATCAGACAGCATGGAGGGGATAATTTAAAAGCTAAGCTATGCTTTGTTAAAAGTACGTTGAATGGCAAGGACGTCCATCGTGTCGAGGGATTCATAACAAATCAAGAGTAAGTTTTAATTTAATTAATTAGATCAACGAGGCAGAATGGAGCATAAAAGGAAAAATGTCATTTATAAGTAACATTATAGAAGGGACTCTAATCCATGGGACCAGAGGAGGGGGGGGGAGTGCGGAGGAGGGAGGATATTCGGTGGCGCGGGAGAAGGGAGGGGATAGCGTGGGAAAGGTCGGCGGTATTGGTATTTACATAAACAGCGATATGATTGATACATGCCGCCATGTTGTGACGTCACTCTCCCAAAAATGCGTTGCGGTATCTCGTATACTTATCATCTTTCTCTCGATACGTTGCCGTCTTCTCCTATCTCTCTTTTTCCTTTTCGCCCACAAAACTACTTGACATGTCACATGTTCAGATGATGACATCATCAATGTATTTATAATACAACTGCGACATTGCCAAAAATATGCATAATGATATAAAAGTATGCATAATGATATAAAAGTTAAAAGATCG